GTCATGGCTTCCACGGCTCTCTTCTTCGCCATGCTGCGAGTCACTCTCACGCAGTTGTTTTGCTCGGCCATCGATCTCGCTCGAATCTCTGAGGCTCCGGCGAGCAGGAATCGGAATATTCCGGCAGGAAGGGTTGGAGGCAGCGGTGATGAGTGAAGATGGAAATTAGAGGAAGGGTGGGTGCGTATAAATCCGCCATTTCTGAGGCTTCGAAAATTTTCAGGTGGAGGGATTGGGCGCAAGTTTTGTTTTCGTGCGAAAGGGAAATGGAAGTTTACAATTTTTGGGAGGTTTGGTTTTCAGGTAACTGAAAATCGAAAAAAAAGGTTTTCGAAAATTAGGGCGAAATGGCCATTTTTCGGCCTCCCCCGTAAAAATTTAAGCGCCATTTGAATCCGTTCAATGCTTTCCTCCCAATTTTCAATTGCCTCCTCCTCCCATCCTCATTCCTCACGGAATTTACCCGTAAGGGCCCTTGACCCCAAAGGCCAAAGGGAGTTGCTGACTTTATTCTTTACCATTAATTTGCGATTAAAAATTAAATTTATTTCTTTTTAGTGATCATCTGGCTGGTTGGGTCTGAAGAGACCTTCAATGAGATAAGACTCATCTTTTCTTTTTCAATTCATCTCATCTTAATTTACTACGGCCCGGTTCGGTGTCCCCTAAGTTCTGACCCCAAATCATTCCTTCACCTACGTTAATTGCACCTCGTAAGTATAATTGACTTTAAAGTAAAAAAATTTAACTACAAACTCAACTAAACTTGCACCCCGCAATTGACGTGGTTAGGGGAGTGAGTTGGAACCGGGACCGGGTGAGGGGTTTACTGAGCGATTTAGAAATGGTAAGAACTATCAATTTTGCGAATGGATCACCGTAGATGTCCCAATTGGGTGAGTGGCTTCTGTAGCCACTCTTTTTGAGTGGCTCTAGAACCTAGCCGATTACTATTATACGGAGTACAAAATATCAATTTTGAAAAAATCCTCAGAGATCAAATTCGTCTTTTTTAAAACTCAACTTTCATCTATTTAAAAACATACTCTTAGACTCTTAGCGTCCTAAAACGATTTTCTCAATTCGATTTACAAGGCTTAACTGAAAATATTTTTAATTCCATTTATTTGATTATAAGTTTAAAATTAAAGGTCCTTCTTTAAGATTGAAAAAAATAGCTGGATGTTGGAAGAAGTTAGAAAGAATTAGAAAAGTTAAAAGAAACTAAAAAAAACTGTAAGAAACTAGAAGAAAATTAGATGGAACCATAAAACTATGAAAAATTGGAAAATCTAGAATAAACTATAAAAAATTTATTGAAGTTTATTTTTTATATTATTCTCATTTTAATTATTATTATTATTAAGATAAAAAGTATCATTTTTCATACACAAAAATCTACTGTCATACAAAAAATTAATTAGAATATAAAGTTAGCATAAATATTAAACTGTTAAATTTTTAAAAAGTTATTGTCGTTACGTTGCGCCTCAATTTATTTATGCAGTATTTTTTTATAAAAATATTTTTGTAATAACATTTTATATATTACAATATTTTATTTTAAAAATCAAACATGTCATATAATAGGACCAAATTTGTTTTTCTTTCATTATTGATAGTGTATTTGTATTATAACTCTTATTTTAGAAATAAAAATATAGAACTCAAATCTGGTACATTCTTATGTTTTACTCATGCTTTACTATTTTTCTCTAAAATATTTTGACTTTCAAAATTCTTTATAAATATTTGAAAAATGTTTTCCCCATATCAATTTAGAAGAGTGTAAATCATAAAAATAGTGACATGGAAAAAATAAAATAAAATGAAATAGTTTATAAATTATAGTTATGAACATAATACTTGTAATAATAATAATGAAACTAATAATAATAATAATAATAATCACATTAAAAATACATCATTTTTAGAGTAATTGTTTGGAGAGTAGAAAGAGTTTGGAGAAAGTGAGAATAGTTGGAAAAAAAGCTGGAAGAAGCTAGAAGGAACATGAAGAAATTAGAAGAAACTCGAAAGAACTCGAAGAAACTGGATGGAACTGAAAGAAATTAAACGGAACAAAAAAAATTTGGAAAAAAATTGCAAAAAAAAAAAAGTAAAAAAAATTAAGTTTATTTTTATGTTATTCTTATTTTAATTTTTATTATTATTAAGATAAAAAATTGTTGTCATTTTTCATACTTAAAAATCTACTTTAATTTCATAAAAAAATTATTAGAATATAAAGTTAGCATTGTTAGACGCCTCGCACACCTCTAGAGGGGGGGCTGAATAGAGATGTTACCCAAAAGACCAGTTTTTTTTCGCGGAAACGTTCTTCACGAATATCAATAAAAACAATGCACCATAAACAAAATAAAGTGAAGGATAAGAGCAATGCACACACGATATATACTGGTTCGGCCGAAATGCCTACATCCAGTCCCCGAAGCAATCGTGCCCAGGCCTTCATTAACCCGTCAAACTTAACGGAGTTTGATAATCCGAATACAACTCGAGAACTTGATTTCACAAGCCTCTTATCTTACCACCGAAGTTTTGATTTCACAAAACTCAGGATTTCTTCCACCTAACGTTTGATTTCACAAACCGTAAGGATTTCTACCACTTGGTGTAATCCCAACACCAAGAATACAAATCCCTTACAATAAAGTAAGAAAACAACCCGCAACTGAGTAATTCTCCCAACACGGAGTAGATTGTTGCAAATACAATGAAGTCCTTTAGGGTATGACAATATCTCTCAAAGACTCAAGCAATGAGGAAAAACTCAAGCAAGAAATGATTTAGCAATCAAAACAATTGCCTTGCTTGGATATAAGGAGGGGATTGAGTAGAATCTCTTTGGATATTCAAAGGATATGTTCTTCAAAGTGTTCTAAGTGTTCTTATGAAGATAATGACGAAAGTAGGTAGTTTATAGAAGGTAGGGAGTGGATAGGGATGAAAATCATTCAGAAAACTAGCCGTTTGGTAGTTGAAACTGTCGACTTATTCGAATAAGTCAAGAACTATTCGCATAGTTTTGATCAATCGCGTGGCTTGAAAAAACCAGTTCCTATTCGAATAAATGGTGATTTCTTCGAATAAATCAAGTTGAAAAACCAGGACTTATTCAAATAAGTGGTGGTTTATTCGAATAAAACAGGTTAATTTCAGTAACAGAAAAGATCACAACTTATTCGAATAAACAAAAGATTATTCGAATAGAAAGGCAATTTCCCCATACAAAGGCTGATCTAAAATGTGTTTTAAAGGTAGGATGATAAGGAATGAACCTTAGAGATGCCATACTCTTTAACCCATAATCTAAGACCTAAAACACTACCCAACTAAGGAAATAACCTCTTCGGTCTCGTTGCTTCCACCGATGCTCAAGTCCCTTCTTCACGGACGGATATGAACTTGTTGTAGCTTTGATTCTTAGCCTTGATGCACAATATAATGATGATGTTTTGTCACCATTTTGTCATTATCAAAACCTAAAAGACAATGGGCAAAGGACATTGCAAAAATATATATTCATGATAGCACATTGTCCAACAAGCATAAATATTAAAATGTTAAATTGTAAAAAGTTATTGTCCCTGTTTGGGAACAGCGTTAGCGTTTTGAAAAAGCTATCTACGGGCAGCGTTTAGAGTTAGCCTTTTCAAAGTGATCTGCACCGTTAAAATTTTATCCAAAACGCTAACGCTAATCTCTAACGCTATTCCTAAACAGGCCCATTGTGGTTACGTTGCACCTCTAGATTTTATATTAAAATGTATTTATCATTTATCATATTAAAATGTATTTATCATAAAAATTTATTTGAATTTACACTTTAAATATTACGGAGTATAAGATTTTATTTTAAATAAGAGACATGTCACATAATGTGATTTAATCTATTTTTTCTTTCATGATTGATATTGTATTTGCATTGTAACTCTTATTTTAGAAATAAAAATATAGAACTCGTATTTGGTACATTTTAATGTTTTACTCATAGTTTAGAATTTTTTTCTCTAAAATATTTTGACTTTCAATCCAATATACTCCCTCCGTCCCACTGTCTTTGTCCATTTACCTTTTGGCACACCATCCAATGCACTTCTTTAATCCATTTTATCTTGTAATTTGTATATTAAAAAATTATAAAAGTTATATATTAATAATCTATATGTTAAGACAAATCAAACAAGATCACACATGACTATTTTTAGGCTTACACATTGAGAGAAGTGAGAAAGCCCTAAGTAGGATTAAAACATTGAAGATATACCAAAATAGGACTTTCATGTTTTTATTCCCGAAATAGGACTTACATTACCAAACATGGTCATATACATTACCAAGAAAGTATATTAATTTGCACATGTACACTGCCACATTACCACAATGCAAAGTCACATTACCACAATGCAAAGTCCTATTCCGAGAAAAAAAACATGAAAGTCCTATTTTGGTATTTTTCTCTATGTTTTAGTCCTATTTAGGATGATTTCTATTAAGAGGAGTCAAAGTGCTTAGATGAACAATTCCAAAAGTCAAAAGTGGACAAAGACAGTGGGACGGAAGTAGTAGTACCATGCTACTTTGGTTTTTTTTTTGTAGTATTGATGCTTATAATTTGTCATGCCTCAGTCAATAGAGACCAGATAAACGGGGGGAACAATTTTCTTAAAGGTCAAACCGCGTGTTTGACTAACCGATAAGAGGTCCTACCCACTTTAATTAGTCGTAATTGTTAATTAAAGGTGAAATATAGTCCATTATTATTATCCTTTAAAGAATTTTAATCTAATAAAAAATACAGGAGTATATAGTCTCTATCTAAAAATATGAGGATCGAGATGGTTTAACTTTTATTTTAAATAAATATTTTATTTTAATTAATAAATATTTTATTTTGGTATAAAAGATATTCCTCCTATTTTGAAATAGTTATGGTGAAAAAGAAGTACATACTGAGTATTATTTTTTCTAGAACAAGAGAGTATAAATCCAAAAGAAACACTTGACTGACTTGAAATTGGATTGTAATCTGTGCAATATGACAATGGACGGTGACCTTCTCCTCACGCCGTTCTTGTCCATCGCCCTCCTCCTCTTACCTCTGTACCTAATCTCCAAACACTTTCACCGGAAAATCAAGAACCACCCGCCGGCCCCCTTCCTCACCCTTCCCGTCCTCGGCCATCTCTACCTCTTCAAGAAGCCTCTCCACCGAGCCTTGGCCAGCATCTCCGATCGCCATGGCCCCGTCCTCCTCCTCGAATTCGGCTCCCGGAAAGTCCTATTGGTCGCCTCCCCTGCCGCCGCCGAGGAGTGTCTGTCCAAGAACGACGTCGTTTTCGCGAATCGCCCACTTCTCATGGCCGGAAAGTATATAGGGTACAATTACACCTCCCTCGCCTGGGCCCCCTACGGCGACCACTGGCGGAATGTCCGCAAAATCGCGGCCACACACGTCCTCTCCGCCCACCGCGTCCAAACTCTGCGCGAAATTCGGGCGGATGAGGTGAAGTCTATGCTGAAAAAGCTCCGATCGGTCTCCGAATCGGGCGGCCCTGCGGAAATGAAGACCGTATTTTTCGAGCTGACGGCGAACGTGATGATGAGGATGATCGCAGGGAAAAGGTATTACGGCGAGAACGCGGTGGAAGCGCAGGAGGCGGCCAGGTTCAGGGAGATCGTGGCGGAGACTTTCCGGCTCGGCGGGGCGACGAATGTGGGAGACTTCGTGCCGTCGTTGAAGGTGCTGATGAGGAGGCTGGAGAGCGATTTGGTGGAGCTGCAACAAAAGAGAGACTCTTTCATGCAGGAGATGATCAAGTATTGCCGGAATCGAATGGAGAAGTCCACCGGAAGTAGCGACGGGGAATCCGCCGGAAAGACGAAACCATTTGTGGAGGTTCTGCTGACCCTGCAAGAAGAGGAGCCCGAATCTTACACGGATGAAACCATCAAAAGCCTTATGCTAGTAAGTGAGCCTACACTTGTAGTATTGCTCGTTTGAAAGTTTGATACGAGTATTTTTTACTTAAATTACTCCGTAAATTAAAAGTTGCACTAAATTTCCTTAAACCTCTTTTCTATTTTGATTTTGGAGCAAAATAAGGAAAATATAATTTTGGTTAACATCCTAATTTTGGCCCTAATGTGATGAGTAAAGTAAGATGTGATAGTTTGGTTATTAGTGAAAAAGTATGATGTGATATATATGATATGAAAATGTAGGAATAAGAATGATTTTTTTAATAGAAAGTGAAGTGTTTTAGGAAATTGGGGAAAAATGAAAGGAGAGGATTTTATGGAACGGAAGGAATATTAAAGTCATTATATTTTAGAATTTTCTCTGTCAAGATCTTTTCATTTTAGCTTTTAGAAAATTTAAGAAATGAGTATTTTTGTGTTGACTTTTCAGAAATAACCTTGATACGATGAGTAAAAATAGGATGTAATGTATAGATTATTAGTAAAAAAAATATGATTTGATTGGTAGGTTAAGAATTAGTTTGGATAAAAATGGTATTTTAATAGAAAAACAAAGTATTTTGTGGGACAAGAAAAAAAAGAGGAGTTTTTAGGACGGAGTTCGTTGGGTCTTATGGGGGGTCAAATGTTACGGTATGATTTCATTGTCCCATATCCGTCAACTGGGGGACTTGGTGATAGGTTTATAACGGGCCGTTTTGAAAACGCTAATGCTAAACACTGCTCGCAGATAGTCTTTTTAAAACGCTTACGCAGATCTCTAACGCTATTTTCAAACAGGTCCATCGTCAAGGATTCTCCCACCTTAATAGGTAGTTTTTTAGGTTTGACTTTCCCTTGTGTTGTATCAAAGTCCAAACTGACAATATCAGTGTAGGAACGTGTTAAAGAGTATCCCACATCGAAACTTGAAGAGAAAATAAACCGGTATATAAGCCCTTGAGTTGAACTAACTAATAGATTGGATTCAATCTTTTAATGTGGTTCAACCCAAGTGTCTTATTGCCTAATCTAGTTGTCCATACCCATCCAAAATTCATCATGGTATTAGAGCAGGTTTTGGCCCACCTCGTTTGTCAAGGTGTCCGTCTAGACGTTCATTTCTAGCGGCCCGTTTGTCTTTAGCCCAGTTGTCCGTATGGAGTATGTACCCAACGGCCCTGTGGCCCGTTTAACACGATTGCTCGTCTGGAAGTCCATACCCAGCGGCTCGTGGTTCTTTAGGTGTTGGCGCTCAAAAAAAAAATCAAGGGAATGGGAGTTTATTTGCAAGTGGTCAACCGGTTAGATTCAAAATGGCCCGGTTGTCCACTTGAGGGGGAGTCTTAAAGAGTATCCCACATCGAAACTTGAAGAGAAAATAAACCGGTATATAAGCCCTTGAGTTGAACTAACTAATAGATTGGATTCAATCTTTTAATGTGGTTCAACCCAAGTGTCTTATTGCCTAATCTAGTTGTCCATACCCAACGATTATCAATTAAATAAAAATTATATTGTATATTGGGATACAAACAATTTAATTATGTTTATTTGATGAAAACCCTTCAAAAATTTATTTGTTTGCATTTTATATAACACAAATTTAATATCATTGATGATTAAAGTTTATGTAATTTGATTTAAAAAATTGAATTGAACAAATATTTTGAAACATTGGTAATACTCCCTCCGTCCCACTATATTTGTCCACTTTCATTTTTGCACACCATCCAATGCACTTCTTTAATCCATTTTATCTTGTAATTTGTATATTAAAAAATTATAGAAATTATATATTAATAATCTATATGTTAAGACAAATCAAACAAGATCACACATGACTATATTTAGGCTTACACATTGAGAGAATTTGATGAGTCAAAGTGCTTAGATGAACAGTTCCAAAAGTCAAAAGTGGACGAATACTCCGGGAGAGAGAGAGTATATTTTAATCTTAATAAATGCCTTGTAGNATGTAATTTGATTTAAAAAATTGAATTGAACAAATATTTTGAAACATTGGTAATACTCCCTCCGTCCCACTATATTTGTCCACTTTCATTTTTGCACACCATCCAATGCACTTCTTTAATCCATTTTATCTTGTAATTTGTATATTAAAAAATTATAGAAATTATATATTAATAATCTATATGTTAAGACAAATCAAACAAGATCACACATGACTATATTTAGGCTTACACATTGAGAGAATTTGATGAGTCAAAGTGCTTAGATGAACAGTTCCAAAAGTCAAAAGTGGACGAATACTCCGGGAGAGAGAGAGTATATTTTAATCTTAATAAATGCCTTGTAGTGTTTAATTGTCGTTGATTTGATTCAATGTTTAGGTTCTCTTAGGAGCAGGGACAGACACTTCTGCGGGGACTATGGAGTGGGGATTATCACTCCTCCTAAACCACCCCGAAGTCCTTGCCAAGGCAAAGAAGGAAATCGACGATCGCGTCGGGCACGACAGATTAATCGACGAATCAGATTTGGCCAACCTCTCATACCTCAACCATATTATAAAAGAGACAATGAGAATGTACCCTGTCGGCCCTCTCCTAGTCCCACACGAGTCTTCAGCCGAGTGCACCGTGGCTGGCTACCGCATTCCCAAGGGCACAATGCTGATGGTGAATATCTACTCTATCCAAAGGGACTCCAGATATTGGAATGACCCAAAAGAGTTCAAACCAGAGAGGTTTGAAGGGGCCGAAGGGGTCACGGATGGGTACAGGATGATGCCATTTGGATCAGGAAGGAGAGGGTGCCCTGGGGAAGAACTGGCCTGGCGCATGGTTGGACTTTCCTTAGGGTCGTTAATACAGTGCTTTGACTGGGAAAGGATTGGGGATGAGATGGTGGATATGAGGGAAGGAACTGGTTTGACTATGCCCAAAGCCGAGGCGTTGGTGGCAAAGTGCAAGATTCGCCCTTTTGTGCCCAATCTTCTTTTGTCATCGGACTAACTCGAAGACTACCGATGCATTATATGATAATACCATTTCTATTTCCTCGTTGAGATTTGAACTTGGATGAACTTAATTATTGTCGCTTTGTATACTTGAATCCTTGAATGTTGTCTTAATGTCATTGTGCATGCTTGTTCTTTCATGTTTAAAGTTTCCTTTTATTTTTATATTTCTTTTTTGGTACCGTCTTAAGACTAGAAAAGCGAAACTTCATTCATGTACTTGTCGACAACAATGGTATGAAGCGTTTAGCGGTATGAAACATTAAAAATTTATTAGTGATATAATCGTGTTGAAAGATAAAAGGCTAACAACAGATTACGTACATCACATCAAGTAATTATTCATCATTTTAATTCAGAACTTATATAATAAATTTAATACAAATATTTATTTATTATTAAAAATAGATGAAAAATTTTTAAAAATAAAAAAGGATAAAAACAATTACGGGGCAAAATCGTCGTCGCCCAGTCCTCCAAGTATATTACCGAAGCTTGCAAATCAGATGACGTCATCGTGTTCGAATTTCTCAAAGTCAAAGTTGTTGTGGTTAGGATTCTTTTTTTAATAGTGAGATGTAGCCAAACTAAGTGAACGCCTAAGGTTGTGACAATATAATGTGATATGGCATGTAGCCAATGAAATTGATACCAGCTCATCTATTAGTAATGTATACTTTCCCCATCAACCCAATGGAGGAGAGTTGCTGGAGTATATTCTTTTCTCTCCATTGCAATACATATGGTGGAATAAATTCTAGCCAAGTTGAAAAAGACTTAATTATAATATTTAAAAAGGGCTAGCGTTTTAGCTTGTTTTCCGTTTCCCTTCTATTTCGATGCATGACACAATCACAATTCAATACATTTTTATATATTTTGATCAATAAAGTTGAGAAAGATGACCCCAAAAAATGTCCTTTAATTTTGGTCTAGGAAGGTCCAAAATAAAATTAAATGCACTCTTATTCCTCATAATAAAATAAAACTTGGACATCTCATTTTTTTGCTATAAGGAAATTAAATTCTTAGGTTGATGCATGTAATATCTACCTAGAAATTTGTATGCCTTTTTAATAGCTACTACGTACTCTCTCCGTCCCTAAAAGGTTGCCACAATTTAATTTTTTGTTAAATTGTGACACACTTTGACCACGAACTAAATATACTTTAAAATAATAAATAATATAAAATTTTTCTATTTCAAAATTATATTTTAAAATAAACTCAATTTTACAAATTTTACACTATAATTAAATATACTTTTTCTATAATTTGTGGTTAGAATATATGATAGTTTGACAAAAAACATTAAACTGTAGCAATCTTTTAGAGACGGAGAATGTATATACCCGGAGTAAAGGTTTATGGAGGCTAGGCCTTCCACAATTGGGTTTTGGAACCCTAGTCCATCCAAATGAAGGACTTGGACAAGAGGAGAAAACGAGGGTAACCATAATGTGTTTTGGGGCAAGGGAGTCGTCCTTATAAAAGGCACCCACCCTATATTCGTCCTTGGGAGATAACCTCTAAGACCTAAGGTCGTTGCACTTTTCGATCGTCCCACATACCAAAATAGGGACTGATCAGTACGTCTGTGTGCTATGTGAAGGGTACACATTTTGTTGAAATGTTGACTTGTTCATCCCACATCGGCAATGCAATGTTATATTGTGCTGCTATTTAATAGATTGGGTACCTCAACCTCTTGAGTTAACTTTTGAGGTTGAATTGGACCCAATTCTATTGTTTTGACACATTTGTTCCTTTTTTAGCATGCAAGGCCATGTCTAGTCTTAGGTTTGATTATTGTCATAATTATTTTCTCACTTCCACAATCCACATTGTAGAGGATCCAAATCACAATTTTTAATATTGAGTGGTTTTTAACAATAATCAAAGGTTTTCCTAATATATGATCATATTTTTGATTAATTTATAATACTTGTGTGAAATATTTATACATTCTTATACTTCCCTCGTCCCACTATATTTGTCCACTTTCATTTTTGCACACCATCTAATACACTTCTTTAATTCATTTTATCTTGTAATTTGTATATTAAAAAATAATAGAAATTCTATATTAATAATCTATATGTTAAGACAAATCAAACAAGATCACACATGACTATATTTAGGCTTTCACATTGAGACAATTTGATGAGTCAAAGTGCTTAGATGAACAGTTCCAAAAGTCAAAAGTAGACAAACAAAGCGGGACGGAGGGAGTAATTAAAATTGATGTTAGATATAAAAAAAAATCGATAATAGAAGCACTAAAAATATGTGGTTCTGAATATTCTTTTCTCTATTCTAAAGAAATACTCTCTCTGCCCCCCTGTATTTGTCCATTTTCATTTTTACACACCATCCAATGCACTTCTTTAATTTATTTTATCTTGTAATTTGTATATTAAAAAATTATAAAAATTATATATTAATAATCTATATGTTAAGACAAATCAAACAAGATCACACATGATTATACTTAGGCTTACACATTGAGAGAATTTGATGAGTCAAAGTGCTTAGATAAACAATTCCAAAAGTCAAATGTGGACAAATACAGGGGGACGGATGGAGTATTATTCATACAATATATATTCTTCCTAGACTTTTGAGATACATGGATAATTCTTGGCTGAGAAATTAAACCAGCCATCCAGCTTCGCCCAATTATGTCTGGACTTCGTTTTCAAAATTGGATTTTTGTATACGGGCGGAAATTTGAATTTCTCAGTATGAATCTCAGAATTTGTCCGCATTGGTGATATCGGACCTAGGGTTTACCTACTAAGCTCAATCAATGGAGCTTGATTTGATTTCGATTTTACTTCAGTTCATCGATGCTAACCTTCGATTTTGTCTAAATATTTCTAAATGCTGATCTGATTAAGTGTTGAACTAGCATCATTTATTTCTTATATATTCAGGATTTGAATTTATTAGTTTTGATTCACATGTTCTGGGGGGACCCTTCTAAGATAAATCCTTCCACTGTCTGGGTTTGGGTCTTTGGAATTCTGTCAAAATATTTTCTCAGAAGATCCTTAGTTTCTACTTGAATATCATATGAGGTGTCTAATTGTTTGAGTGTTCATCTTGACAAGTTTATCTACGATTACTAGTGAATTCCACCAATTGATGCTTGAGTTAATTCATAATTGTGCTATAACCTATAGCAGTAGGTGTTGTATTTGGCAGTAGGGTATTCTATATTCTGGATTATATTCTAATTAATCTGGAGCCTTTGGTAAAATGTTATGCCTCAACCATTATCAACTTATTTAAGCTGAAGGTAGATTAACTTATAGCAGTACCAATTTGCTAACTGAAACTTCTGGTTGTTGTAAATTTAGTTTATGCCATCTTTATGACTTAGTATTGAAAGATTTAATCCTTGGCTCTTGTTTTACAAAGTTATCTATTTACTCTTGATAGAGTTGGCTTACTGATTTCCAAACTGTCGTTTGGGTTGATTAAGGTCTTGTCTGGGAACAACATTTTCGATTAGCGTTAATTTTTTGGATAAACTTTTAATGGTGTAGATTAATTTCTGAAAACGCTTACGCTAAAGGCTAGCATCAGATAGCCTTTTTCAAAACGCTAACCTCTAACGCGGATGCCAAACGAGACCCCTAAATGAGATAATACTTCCATGTTCAAGGTATTGTTAAAACTCTGGTTGCTGTTTTAAAAAACAAGCTGGATGCCTTTTGTCTCCTTTTTTAAGTATTAGGGAGAAGGTCAGGTTTAAAGTGCTTTTTGGCAGAATATGTCTAGCTAAAAGTCAGTCATGATTATATGGTTATGGAGGTATCGAGAATAATTTGAAAGTATAAAGAGTTATTCCCACTCATCTTGTTTCTTTTCTGGATTTTCAAGAACCATGTAGAGATTTTATCACTTTCTGTAGGGTATTAGGTGCATATCAGTATGTGTGTTGTTTGAGATTGTGTGAGTGTCAAGAGGGTTCCTTAGGACTCTTGTGTGATGATGGAGGACGGAGGATTGAGGGGTTTATATAGTGTAGTTCACTGGGTTTTCAGATCTTTTGGCAAGTGAACGCATATGTGCTTTACTGCTTTTCATTTAGTGTTGACAAGGACATGGTATTGTAGACTTGTAGTATTCTATTGGTTGAACTACTTCCTGGTATTCATCTATTATTGATGGTGATTGTGCCTTGGTGGACCTTTCTACGCCAATAATTTGCTTTGAAAAGATCATCAGGCATTGAAAGACTAAGAACCAAACAATGTTGTTTGCCTATTGCCAAACACCGAGTATAAGTCCTACCCAAACACTTGAATTTGGATTGTATTTACGACAATGGACGGTAGCCTTTTCTTGTACACAGCCCTCCTCCTCCTCTTACCTCTGTACCTAATCTCCAAACACTTCCACCGGAAAATCAAGAACCACCCGCCGGCCCCCTTCCTCACCCTCCCCCTCCTCGGCCATCTCTACCTCTTCAAGAATCCCCTGCACCAAGCCCTAGCCACCATCTCCGCCCGCCATGGCCCTCTCCTCCTCCTCGAATTTGGCTCCCGGAAAGTCCTATTGGTTGCCACCCCTACTGCCGCAGAGGAGTGTTTCTCCAAGAACGACGTGGCCTTCGCAAACCGCCCGCGTCTCATGGCCGCAAAGTACATAGGGGACAACTACACCTCCCTTGCCTGGGCCGCCTACGGCGACCACTGGCGGCACATCCGCAAGATTGCCTCCACACACATCTTCTCCCTGAACCGCGTCCAAACGCTCCACGAAATTCGGGCGGATGAGGTGAGATCCATGCTGAAAAAGCTCCAAATGGTCTCCGAATCCGGCACCCCGGTCGAAATGAAGACCGTGTTTTTCGAGCTGACGGCGAACGTGATGATGAGGATGATTGCAGGGAAAAGGTATTATGGAGAGAAGGCAGGGGACAAGGAAGAGGCAAACCGGTTCAGGGAGATTGTGACAGGGACTTTTCTGCTCGGTGGGGCGACGAATGTGGGTGACTTTGTGCCGGCCTTGAAGGTGCTGATGAGGAGGTTGGAGAGTGACTTGGTGGAGCTGCATCAGAAGAGGGAAGCTTTCATGCAGGAGATGATCAAGTATTGCAGGAATAGAATGAAGAAGACCGCAAGTAGTGCCGGAAAGACGAAACCATTTGTGGAGGTGCTGCTCACACTGCAAGAAGAGGAACCTGAGACTTACAATGATGAAATGATCAGAAGCCTCATGCTGGTAAGTGAGTGAGCCTGCACACATTTTATTTTATTTTGGCATCACTTCAAAAAAATTATAGAGTATGAATATATAGAAAATATTTGCACTAAATAGCACTAAAACTTAAGTCATTTCCCTAAATAGTACTTAAATAGCACCCGCCGCCCCCTTCCTCGCCCCTGACTTATAAATTAAGTCATTTTCCTAAATAGCACTTAATAATGTCCATAATGTCAAATGATGACAAATATTTACTTGAATAATGACTAATGCATAATGACTAAAAGTGCTACATTGGGAAGAAAAACACATGTGGTACTATTCAGGGAAAGTCATTATGTTTTAGTGCTATTTACGTAAATTCCTCATGAATATATGGTAATGAATGGAGGTGTTAACAAGTGCTAGTGTTGTTGTTGTGTTTGGATTATTAGAATCTCTTAGAAGCAGGGACAGACACATCTTCTGGGACTATGGAGTGGGGATTATCACTTCTCTTAAACCACCCCAAAGTCCTGGCCAAGGCAAAGAAGGAAATCGACGATCACGTCGGGCACGACAGATTAATCGATGAATCAGATCTGGCCAACCTCCCCTACCTTAACTGCATTATAAAGGAGACACTGAGAATGTACCCGGTTGGCCCTCTATTAGTCCCTCACGAGTCCTCCACCGAGTGCACTGTGGGTGGCTACCGCATTCCCAAGGGCACAATGCTGATGGTGAACCTCTATTCCATCCAAAGAGATCCCAAATATTGGGACGAACCGGAGAAGTTCAAACCAGAGAGGTTCGAAGGGGTAGAAGGAGCCAGAGTTGGGTACAAGATGATGCCGTTCGGGTCTGGAAGGAGAGGGTGCCCTGGGGAAGGACTTGCCTGGCGCATGGTCGGGCTATCGTTGGGGTCATTGATACAGTGCTTTGACTGGGAAAGAATTGGGAGTGAGATGGTGGATATGAGGGAAGGAACTGGTTTGACTATGCCCAAAGCTGTGGCTTTGGTGGCAAAGTGCAAGATTCGCCCTTTTGTGCCCAATCTTCTTTAATTCTGTCACTCGACTGAACTGCTACATAATAGTTAATTAATAAGGCCACATTGTATGCCATACTTGATGTTTCTTCATGTTTATATTTCAGTTTTTCATGTTTATTTTCCCTTTTTGTACCCTTTTAAAAGTACATGCGGGAAAGCTTATCTATGTTCTTGTCTTTTGTTGTGTATCTCAATAATGTTTGGGAGTCTTTTCTCCCTTAATTACTTTGTTGCTCAGTTGGTCATGAGCATTATTTATACGTAGTTGTTTCTGCCAAAAAAAGAGCATACATTTTGATAAATAGAGCTAAATTCTTCCGTGAACTTAAGGTTCATGTCTATTTTATGGAACTTGGAGCATTTGTAGGATTAAATAAGTGGGATGAGAAAATTCACATTTTAAATGTGGATCTCAAGATTATGTAAGTATCACTCTTTGATAAAAAGATCATTCTGAATGCCACTCACATATGATTAAAAAAAATCTCACAAAAGTTGTACTCGTTATGTGACATGCTTGGATCCCCGACAAAAGTGGCACAATTTTTTTTAATGTCAAAAGTGGTGTAGAACACTTGGATCCACAATTTTTTTGGATCCACAATTTTTTTGGATCCACAAAAGTTTATTTTTTTTATTTATTACTCGGTACTTATTTCCATTTTAGTTGACTTAAAAGTGCCATATATGTAACTTTTAGGGGGTGTTTGGTTGAGATATTTTCTAAAAATAAAATGATTTCCAAGGAAAATCATTTTTGAATTATATTTTTCTTTGTTTGGTAAGAAGGATAATATTTTCTTAAAAAATTAATTTCTATTATTAATATATGAAACTTAATATTGAAAAAGACGATCTAAAATAATTTAATACTCCGTACTCCGTAATATTTTAATAGCATTAAGAGAAACACAGGATAGATGAAGTTGAGAGCGGGTAGACGGGATTTATGGGTGGGTGTCGAATGATGAGGGGCGATGGGTGGGGATAGGGGCTAGAGGTGGGTGGGGTGGGGTGAGG